ATTTTCTGTGTAGCAATTATAGGTCCTTGATAGATTCATGATATTATTATTAATAACATCATTGACATTTTCAGACTATTATATTATAGCCTCACAAAAATGAGTCGAGTATAATAAATGGATTTTTTTTCATATAGGGTAAACCTCTCCAGGCTATATTAGCAACCAGAACTCCATTGACCCTAACTGACCCCAAAACTCCACTGCCATCACCACCACCACCATCATCATTAACATAGTCACCACCCTGCCATACCACCTAGGAGTGACAGCTGCATCCTCTTTTATTTAACCAAGTTACTTAAAGTTATGATTTCATTAAATGGCATGAAATTCTGACATATGGGACCGACATAGTTTGCTCTATCCTTCGTATCTTAATAAGGTCTAAAAAATACACATCATTTAAAATACTGTTGGTGAAGGCCAAACTTTCCTCATCATTCCTAATAATATTCTCCGAGGTACAGAATTCAGCAATTATGCTTTCCTCCCTCATGAGACCAAGATGATCATAAAGGAGCTTCCCTTAAACTCCAGTCCACCTAAGTCCTCCAATTCCAGGAGACAGGGTAAAGACCTTTTTAGGATGGTGGAGAGAACAGCTCAGACACACTTATTTTTTTTTTTTCAAATGACATTATTCACCAATTGACTGAAAGCATTTAAAATATAAAACTACTCAATGACTTTGACGAAGTGCCTTCTGTGAAATCCTTTGCCTTTCACTTTGGTTGGTTCCCATTCAAGTGGCTATATTTTTTATTTATATAGCGTCTTTCTCTGGAGCATGCGTTTTGATTCCAAACAAGTGCCCAGGTTTTCCTTTCTTAGGTAAGCAAACTGAGACTTATCATTAAACCAAAGAACCTACTTGCACCTCTCTAAAGTCTCCTGGAAAAGGAAGGAGCACACTCAGAGTGCTGCTTTTTCAACTGAGATCATCTAAATTTACATTTAAAATAATACTGAAGGCCCAGGGAGGAGTTAGACGTCTTAATTTTATGTACACTCTGGAGTTGAGAAAAATACAATTAAAATTCATTTATTTCCTTATGTGAAAATTCTTTTCACATAATCAGTCTGAATCAGATTTTTAGAATCGGATACGTTCTAAAAATGCATCTATAAAATAAATGTTCCTTAGAATAACCCTGGTTGCAAACAAATGTTGCAGATGGAATAAAGATTTTTACCTAAATTTGGCACCCAGAGGAAAATATTTCACAATATCTCATCACTCTGTATTCATAGCAAAACTTCTGACCACTTAAATCTGTTCTTCTCTTCTGCTTTTTTAGAGTAAGAAAGCACCAGCACAACTATTAGGATGGGGATAAAGTAATAAAAATATCTAATATTTGTATAGTTATATACTACTTTTATATATTCAATCTCCCCTGATAAAGATTACTATTTTCTCATCGTTAATGGAAAATCGGACTTGTCTATTACAGTTTTTCCTACTTTCTATTGTGCCTGCCACTGGTGATTTCTTGCCCCCTGTCTTTTGTATCCTTAAATGTATAAGAAACCAAAATCTTCAACCTGAATTTTCTCAAATTATAAATGTCATAGCCTAAATATACCCACAAAAGTAAATAGCAAACAATTATAGCCAGGGATCCAAATTAACAGAGTGTGAGAAAGAAGATTAGAATAAGTGGCAATTATCCTTCACGAGCTTTCTACCAAACAGGCACAAGCCACATGGAGTAGGTGAAAATGAAATGGAGATTGGAGATGTGATTCCGTTTTCATCCGAACATCCACTCATTCCCGAGGCAGTATGTGTCAGGTAATCAGTAGCAATTTAAATGAATGAAAAAAGTAAGAACAGAAAGAAAAGGAGCTGAAATCGCATCTAAGCACAAGGGAAGAATTACTGGAAACTTGAACATTAGCCACTCAAAAGAAGTAGGCAGTGTTCAGCCTTTAGAAATACTGAGTAATAAAACTGAAATAAGCATGCAGCATTAAATGTCTACTTTGAATTTAAAAAAAAAAAACAGTGTCAAGTTTTTCATTTTTAGTTGCATTTGAAATCCCTAAGCCATTGGCACCTTAAAGAAGAACTCAAGATCAGAGGCCTTTGTCATGAAATTTTAGGTAAGACACATCTTGCAAAATCACAGCTTGTCTGTGAACAAACTAATTATCTCTTAATAACTATCTGTTGGGAAGTGCAACAATCCTTCTCATGTTATTATGTGACCTGTGCAATTTTACCTGTTACTTTTCTTCATACATAAATGTGGTTGTTTATGGAAGAAAGTAACCATAGCATCTTAATGCTGAATAATGTGAACTTCACACAACCTCTCTGAACATCCCAGGGGGACATTCATGTGGATAGTGCAAACTGTACCCCATGGTGCTGTTCACCATTCTACAAATAGAAAGTTAAGAATCAGAAATAGCAAACCTTAGTCTAACTGACCTAAATATACCAGCCTAATGTATAAGGGAAAAATAAAATGAAGGCAATCAAATAAGTGTTTTGGTTTGTGTAGATAAAACCGCAGCCACTGCCTCAATTTTCTGTTTTTACTGAACATAACCCTTGACGCCTGTATCTTCCAAATTTCTTTGACCGAAACCCACAGTAACAAATATATTTTACATCACAATTGGCACACGTAGCACATAAAATTACCACAAATTTACATGGAACAAAACTTACCCTCGAGAAATATCATGTATTCTAATATTTTTCTGACTTATTCCTTTAATAATATAGTAGACATAATAAACTAATTTTTTTATCTACTGTGCCATGACAAGTAGTTGAAAACACTGCTTCCCAAAACTTTTAAGAACTACTTAAGAAAATTAAAGGTTTTTAAAAGAGCCCAATCAATTTTTTTCTTTCTATCCAAAACTATCCAAACAGGAAAACTGATAAGAAAAGAAAATATATTAAATAGCATCTGTGCATTTGAAGTAACTTGCACAGACAACTCCTTCCCTCCATGGGTAATAAGAGGCAAACCACACAGAAAAAAAAAATTCCAAAACTGAGTTTCCCAAGGGAATTGCATTTCTGTGAGTATTTTACTTTAAAAAGTTTTTTTTGCCATTTTTTATTATTCTAAAAGTATTTGGATATTGTTAAACACAAAAAGTTTAAGATGGGGCATATTATAGTGATATTATTTGCCACATGGATGATGAGCAGTTTTGAATAAAATGTGGTCCCCTCTTTATTTGACCATGCTCACTTTGTAATTATTAGCAAGGCAGCAATAATCCACCAAGGAGCAGTCTCATTAGTGCCCATTGAAATTCAGTGGCATTCATTTGCAATAAAAGAACTGAAAATTAAATGGAAAAGAAAACAGTTTCAGGAGTCCACCATAAGGTTATGGAATTCATATCCTACCAATACCTTCCTTCACATCATGAAGTTTAAAATGTGGTGGGAATTAGAATTAATCTCTATATTTTGTTCTTCCAATTGAAAAAAGTGGGCAGAAGAAATTTTTTCCCCCTCTCTCTCTTTCCAGATTAAAAGAGGTAAATTAATTTCAGTAAAGCAACTCAAAGTTTTGTTCGTTGTTCATCTTTTAAGAAATAACTCAGCCTAGACCTGCTTGGTTGTAGAATGAGCCAGATTTCTGTAACGGAGATGAAGATGTATCCTTGGATACCCCAAGAGTCCGCTCTCCAGTATCCTCGGGTGCCAACCTGCTCCTTAGTCCAGTTTCTTCTGCTATAAATACCTCTGGAAAAGGAACACTGAGCAGAAAACAGTCCAGAGCTTGCACTGCAGGAGGACTGGGCCAGCGCAGCAGAAGGCTCCAGACACCAGTGTACAGTCGCAAAATGCCTAATGTGGGCACCCTGAAGTCTCCCAACCGGACCCAGCTCTCTCTGTCCTCCCACACCTGTATTTACCAGAAAGGCCCACCCAAGCCCTCTATGGGCCCTCTGTAGAGGAAGGGGAACTGCTCAAGGGAAAATGAAAGGTAATGGGGAGGCAGGAGAAGCAATCTCTATTAGGAGATAATAAAGCCACAAAACAATCACCACTCAGGTCACAAAGAGTTTCCCCTGTGTTGTGCACTGCCAGGGTTTCTTGCACAAGAGGAAAAAGGCGACGACCCCCGCTGACCCGCGCCAGCCCAGGGGCATTCTATGCCTGGCAGAACAGATGTGTCTTTTAGCAGGCAGGAGATTATTTTGAATCACTGGTGTTTCAATATGGCATGTTTTAAGTTTACAGGACACCTATAAATTTCCGGTTTTTGTCAAAAGTCACATGCCAGCAATCTGCTCCAACACGGAATCAGCCAGAAACTCAGTCAGAAATCAGAAACTTGTTGAGACTCATTCAACTCCTGTATGAATCTTCTGAGCAGCGCGATTCCATCCAAAACCCTTCGAAACTAGGATGCGGAGGAAGGGTGAAGTGGATGATAAGAATCGCTTCCCCAAAATCATCATCATACCTTGCATATTTCCAAATTCATGATTCTAGATAAAAGAATATTTTACTGGCATATTAAAGTAAAAATCTTAATAATAATAATAATAATAATAATAATAATAATATTTTTTTAAAAAACTTTCCTGAGTTCTACTAACCCCAAATACCTCCAACTTTAAATAGTAAAGCAGGACCTTTACTGGTGACTCAAAGTGCCTTGAGTTTATTTGCTTTGGGGTATTTAGCCCCCACAAATAACTGCTGCTTTGTATAATTTTCCAAAACATGTTTAGTTAGGCAGCGCACGGGCTTTGGGATCCGCCTCTCACAGAGACCATAGGTGGGTGGAGAACAACTGTTTTTTAAGTATCAATGTACAGACCCCGGGTTCCGCAAATGACCCCACGGCTCCCGCCCTTGCAGCCCAAGGAGCTCCAGCCAGATGCCACCCGCGGCCTCGGGCGAACTGGGACCCGCGCGGGTGCCCGCAGGCTCCCCCCTCCCCTCCCGCAGGGCGCGCACCGGCCACCCGACTCGATGCACCGCGGCGCGACGCGGCAGGCGCGGGTACCTGTAGAACGCGGGCGGGCCGGCCTCGCGCACCGCGTAGGTGCTGGGCTCGTTCTCCAGGTAATAGGGCACCTGTTGGCCGTGGGGGTGCAGGAAGGGCGATAGCTGCGGCGGCGGGTGCGGCGGCATCAGCGGGCTCGGAGACACGCTGTTGAGCTGGGGGAAGCCCCCGAGGTTGTTGGCGCCGAACGTCGCCTCCGATCCCGGGCCGTAGGCGATGCCGGACTGGCCGTAGACCGGCGCGGAGGCGGCGGAGGCGTTGAACTCGTACGCGGCGCCCTCGGGGTAGTTGAACACCGCCGGCTTGCTGCTGTCCACGTACACCTCACCCAGGGGCCGCTCCAAGGGCATCTTGAGCTGCGGGCGGTTTAGGGGCTCCAGCTCGTTCCCTTGGATCTGGTGCAGCAAGGCCATTCCTGATGCTTTGGTGTGGAGAGTCATGGTCATGGTCGGTGACCGCGGGGCAAGGCGCAGACTGTCTCCCTGGGCGACAGGGGGCTTAGCAGCCGGTGGGCCACCTGGAAAAAGAGCACAGTCCGCGGTTAGAGGTGGTGCGGCTCAGGTCCTGCGGCGACTGGAACTCCGGCCTGGCCCTGCCCCGGAGCCAACCCTGGAGCCGAGTGGCCAAACTCTGGCCAAACTCCAGCAAGTGCAACCCTGGTGCGAACGCGCCCGCCAGCTCCCGGTCTCCCTAAGTCTCTAACTTTAAGTACAGGTCTCCTTTGCTTACAAGTGTTACAAAGGTGCTGGAGTCCCGCCAGGGACCATTGCCTGTCACTGACACTGGTTCAAACATCACGCCAGGAACCGCTCCTTCTGGAGCAACCCCAAAGAGTCTCTTCCCAGAACTTAACTTGTGGTCGCTGCTGAATGAAGGCTGGATTTCACCGTAGGGGCATGGGGACGCCAAGGGATCTCCTAAATGTGGCTCAGGGAAATGTGACGAGGGTTAAAACAGAAGCAGAAGACTAAGCCAGGGGCCAGTTTTTTCTAAAGTGCTGCCTGATGTGCCCATGCCAGGCTCCAATCTATCTCTGTTTGTCTTTCTGTTTGATTCACTCTCCTCGTTGGCTAGAAATATGTAGTGTGTACATAGAATGACCCTGGGGAGGACTGCTCTGTAACTGAGATATGGTAGATAGGATGGAGTGTGCAGTTGCATATGCAGCCAGCCACAGCCGGCTATATTTAGCAGCTGAAGGAATTGATAGGAGGCATGTAGGGGCAAGGAGAGTGGAGATGCAAGGTGTACTTATAGAAGAACTGCTTTCGGCAGGCAGGAGAATCCTACCATGCTTCAGTTTTCTCATCTGCTGAGAGCTTCTGACAAGGTCCTTTCCAGACACAACCTCTGAGACTCTCCCAGCCTGACTTTTCTATTTATGTTGGACCACGGTGCTGTACTTGCTCCCTTTAGAAATTCTCATGTGAATGATGATTCAGAAAAACCTTTGGTTAGGCGCAAATGGGTGTTCATGCCTTCCACAGGTTATGCAACCAAAACTTCAGAAAACTGAATATGCAATGCGACCTTTCCCCACAAAACCTAATCTCTCAGAGGTCACTAGCCAAAGCTTTGGCAATTATGTTACACTGTCCATCTAACCAGCAATTTTAAAATGCATTTCTGCATTTCATCTCTTTAGTCCTACAGCTGGACTTTCTGGGTCCACTTGGGCTGGAATATGCAGAAGCAAATATCCAAATGAAAAAGAAATAGAAACAATTTTTGAACTCAACTGAATTAAAGCTAAGCCACCCCGCTTGCACTCACACACACGTGCACACATGCACACACAGTCCTATTAATGAGATAAAATATCTGGTCAAGTATATCATAATCCATAGTCTTGATTAGTTTATACTTTTTAATAAACTTCCTTTGCTACAGGCTAATAGCCTCTGATATAGCCATTAATACTTTACCTTAATTACTATCTCAAATGCCCAAAAGAGTAACTGACAAAATGTTCATGGCATATATAAATGCCAAGGTTGCTGTTACTAATGGTAACATTCATAATATTTTATACTAAGTTCACACATTTTTATCTAATTCTTGCAAAAACAGATCAATTTTTGATGATATGTAGATGAGCTGATTTAATATGAAACCAAAATTGAGTTTACCATCAATAACTATAGATCATAAGCAGAGAAAGGGTTAAAAACACATTAGATGAATTGCAGATATTTCTCTCTTTATGGCCAGCAACAATTACTTTCCAGAGCAATTTTTTTTACAGATGATTTAGTTTCCGTAAATCACACTTTCAATTTTCAAATGCCTTCTTTACAACACATGCAAAAGCACTTCATGGGGCTCTTTAAAAATCTGAGCCTGCCAAATTATATATATATATATATATACATATATATATATATATAAATGACACAAAGAATCCTACAACTCCTGAAAGAAAAGGGAGCCGCACACATCCCCCCCCCCCATGGAAAACGGCACATCCTCATCTCCCAGCTAGGATACAGACGCTGGCCAGAAAGGTAAGTTGCTTTCTCAAAATGCTCAAGCTACAGAGAGAGAGAGAGAGAGAGAGAGAAATCAAAACAATCCTACCCTGCTGGAGCAAGAGTATCTTTCCAGAAATGTTCCATGGGCTTGTAGAAGTCAAGGGCCGAGACTGTAAGAAGGGAGGAAGGAATGTGCTCGCATGTTCGAGTGGCTCGGTGTGTGATCAAGGCAGAGCGTGTGTGGATGTGTTTGTGTGTGGAATGGCAGGGACTCGGGAAGCAGCCAGTAGGCAGGGCACTTGGCAGCCCCTCCCGGCAGACGCGGCAGCTGGGCTGCTGAACAGAGCTGGATGAATGGCAGTGAGGAGTGAGGGAGGCTTGCTGTCTGCTGGGGACAGCAGTGTGGCATAGCTAGAGTGTACCTCCCTGGGGAAAAGAAACTCCAGCCCCCTCTGCTCCCTACTTGTGTCCCTAGCTTTCTGCCATCGTCACCCTACGCAAGAGGGAAACCAGCCTAGCTGTAAATCATAGGCTTATGGCGAAAATAGAATGCCCATCAAAAGTGTATAGAGATCAAGTTTACAAAATGTGCCAGGGTGGTTTTTTTTTTCCTGAAGAATATAATTTAACAAGAAAAGCTTCCTGGAATACACTTGGCTCAAATGCCTTACTGGTCCCAGCCCCACACATCTCTGAGTAGCCACACGATTGCCAGGCCTCTAGTGGCACAAGGAAATCAGACTTTGAAGTAAATGTCTTGGCATTCCAGGGATACGTTTGCAGCTGAAAAGTAATACTCCTCCACCTCGTTAGCCAAACCCACAAAACTCTCCACCAATATCTCCTTGACTGCTCTCTGTAAACATGTGAAAAATGTATTAAGTCTGAGGGTATGAAGATAAGACCAAGGTAGGACCTTTGTTTTAACTGCTTTTAGTTGTACTGGCATTGACCGTAGGCAGGGGTCTTACTTTTCCTGACAGTGCCCACATGCATCTGCCTGATTCTCAACATTTCTCCTGACCAGGGAGCAAGAGTTGGTATAAGGTTCTCCTAGTGTGCCCTCCCCCAGGGTCCCAGGACACATGACGCCTAGTAGTGCCCTCATTGCCAGACATTTGTCACTGCCTTGGGTATTAAATAACTCTAATCACAATGCCAGGAGTGGCTAGTCTCTGGTCTTAGGAACCTGTGCAGTTACCAAGAGATTTATGAGTAGTTCTTAAAACTAGTACAAATAAAAAAGTAGAAAGTTTTGTTTTTTTTTTAAAAAAAAGGCTAATTATGTCATAATGCAAATATATATTTGGTGTGCTTTGAAAAACCCAAAATAATGCAATATTAGAACACAGAAGAGTTCCCTCTACAATTAGCAATGAAAATAAATATTGAACATAAATAAATACTGAAGACTAGGTGTAACTCAGCAGTAGAGCACTTGCATAGCATGTGGGATGCCCTGGGTTCAACCCCCAGCACCACAAAAATCTAAAAAATTATAATGAAAAGAAAGATTATTATCCTTTGTCGGTGACAGTGGTGAATCCTGGTGACAGTACCTCCTCTCATAGGTCAACAATGGTCACACATGCACTAGGCCAGTCCAAAATAAAACAAGTATATGCAAGAGGGACAGAAAGGAGAAGGGAAGGGAGAGGAGGGGAAGTGAGAAGAGAGTGGAGATGAGGAAAAAAAGAAAAGAGAGAATAAGAAAGGAAGGAGGAAGGGAAAGAGAACCTGCAAATGTTCACCTTGAACACGGGAGGGGTAAGAAGCCTAGCTGTCTTCTCAGAGACTCTGAATCTGCAGAGACTTGTGATCAAAGTCTGACATGTCCAATAAAGACAGTTTTCTTGACCACTTTCTTTCCAGTAATTTCTGTCAACATCCTGATCAGTTTGGTCTGCCATGTTGGGTGATGGTGGGTGGGAAAGCATGGTGCCCGGGAGCCCAACATGGACTTGTCTCTAGTGGCTCTGGCTCCAACTTTCTCTCCTTTCCTGTCACCTCTCACGTGAGACGCACAGCCCTGCCATGACTTACCGACTAACCAGGTAAAGTCTACTTCTCTAGGGCCACTGCCCAGTGTATCTCCAGACCCGCTTTTCCAATCCTCTCCCAAGCCCTCCTTCTCTCTCCTCCAACATGGTCACCCCCCTCCCCCAACTTCCCTTTGTGTACAGCATCACTGTCGCTCTGGTCACCAGATTAAAATTCTAGCATTTTCCTTTGAGGCCTGACTTTCCATCACCTTTCGTACGGGATCAAGAAGCAGTTCCCAAGCAATCTAGCTTAGCCACTTCTGCTCATCACTGCGTTGCCATCACCCCCTTTCCATCCCTCCTGGCCTTACCTGTGCCAAGAGCCTCCTAAAGACCTTCTGCCTCTTCCTTCTCCCTGTTTTCCCTGAATTCTGCTGCGGATTTATTGACTTTTTTTTTTTTTTTTTTTACGGCTCCAGGATCTGTCTAGTCGTGACCCAGATCCCAGCTTCCCCAGGAGTTCCGGATATCTCTTCTCCATCGCCATCCTTTCTGGTCTGGTGGCTTCAGTTTGTGACCCGTGCTTCAGCTAAATGAAAGTATAATCCTCCAAGGCCCCCCAATTTTTCTGTCTAGAACCCCCACCTTCCTGACTTGTCAGGGAAAAGCATCTCCTTTTTTAGGTCCAGTCTCAATGCCACTGAATCCACGGTACCTTCCTCTATTCCTTATCCAAAGAGAATTCCTGTCCTCTGAGCTCCAGGGGTAGTTCTCGTGCATTTAACCCGTTCTTCCTTGAATCAGTTATTTATATAAATATAATTTTTAACCTCTTACTCAGAAGCTCCTTGAGGACAAGTTCTAGCTAGAAATATTTGGGAATTTGAGAGCCTAAAATGGTGTTTGATCATTATTAGGTCATTAAACATCAGCTAGTTAATTACCACAGATACTTCAAAGGATAAAGTAATATCCCATCTGTCAGAATAACGGTGTCTAAAAACTAACTTTCTAAGTGATGTCCTACCACTTTCAAAACTGTTTTTTTTTTTTGCTATAAAAGCTGTTTTTTGCTATATAACTGTTTTTTGTTATCTCTGTATCTTCACAATGACTGAAAACATAAAGTCAAAATTCAAATCTGTACCACCTCAATGTGTTAAGTCTGCAGTTCTTGGTGACATGATTCACCAGAGGGCTCTGCATTTTTAGTTCTTAACCAGATAATACTGTGGCCAAACATAGCTTCTTCTCTAGCTCCATTAAAAGCTTTTTAAAGTAACAAAAACATAATTCCTCAACAGAAACATGAAAAAAAATAAATGTAGAAATAGCTCTATGATAGCTTATCCCACCAGACAAGGTTCCTGCACTCTGAGAAGTGCAGGTTTAGCTCTGTTCAAACTGATCGTTGTACTGATTACAAATGCCATGTTGGGGAGTTTGTTTTTGAGCATTTATTTGACATCATCTGTTTTCCTCTAAAGTGGATGAATAATGAGTCCTTTTAAGGGCTCATTTTAAAGATAGTTTGGTCATTTGTTTTAAGGGTTTTTTATTAGCTCCTAGCCTTTATTTTTCACCCAGTCTTGGATTTTTGCTTTTTCAGTCAAAATTTACATACAGTAGAATGGACATGCATATACAGTTTGATAAATCTGGGGAGAAGGATATGCCCATGTAACAACCCTGCCAGTCAAAATATAGAGTATTTCCATCACCCAGAAAGTTCCTTCCTGCCCATTGTAGTCAACCCCCATCCTCTATGGTAACTGTCATTCTGAGTTCTGTTGCCATAGATTGATGTTGCCAGCTGGTCCAGGAGATCTCTTACAAATTGGAGCACATGTGCCCCATTTCCCACCAATGGCACAACCAGGCAGGTGCTGGCTTTGCAGCTTCCTCTGGCACCAAGGCACAGATCTACTTTATTCTTCCCAGACTTCCCAGCATGAGAACCCTTAAGACCACAGAATTTTACTAACATTCCACTATTCATGGACACTTTGAAGCTCAGCAGGTGCAAAGATACAAGCGACCAAAACGCCCAGTGGAATCAGTGTTCCTTCACCCATTTCTAAACCCTCTGCCGCTGCAAAGAAAAAGGCATGATTTTTAACCAGGAATCAAGCCAAAGACCCGTCCTCTTACAAACCCTGTGACCTCAGATGCCATTTTCTGTCTTCTTGCTCAGGACTTGATGCAGATGATTAGAATTCTTGGTTGCCAGACAGAATGGCTGCTCTTCATTATGAATCAATAAGTGATTCAGATTTCATTTGCCAGCTTAATAGAATTGGTTAACTTTCATCTCACATTTTCTTGGAAAATGTATTTAAAATACTCTAAGAACTTTTTATATCATTTACCTACACTGCATGTGGTAGAAGACAATTTAGAAGACACTTTCACTGTAAGTGCCATGTAGGATACAAGAATTCCAATTATTCCAATTATTGTTACACTGTGTCCCTCTTCCACCCTTTATCTGCTATTTACTTGAGGAATCTCATTGCCAGTTTAGGGTATTATTTCTCTGTGTAGAGCAATATCTAGATTGTGCCGAAATACACATAGATTTAGATAGTCCTATCTAATGTTAAGGAGGGTTCTTACACACACACACACACACACACACACACACACACACACACACACACACACACTTCTCTCTCTCTCTAACCAAGAACCATCCCCCATGCCCAATTTCAGAGCCAAGCCTAGCCAAATGGCTTTTATATTTATATTTTTGTGAGTTTTAAGCTTTTTCAGGCCTTTCAATTATTTATGTGTTTGTTTGCTCGTTGGTCATAGCTGCCTCTTATTCACACTACCAAGAGCTCCTTCCCTCTCTCACCCCCCCTCAATTGCAATCATTCTGTATTGAGGAAGTAACACATTTGTAAACATGACAATGAATGCCTCATTCACTCAGTTCTTTTTTTTTAAAAAAAAAAAAAGAAATATTGATTACCTATATTTACCAGGCCATCTGTAAGTGGGCACAGTCTTAGCTAGCTCAGGCAGTCATAACAAAATACCACAGACCGAGTTTCCTATACGACAGACATTTATTTTCTCACAGTCTGGGAGCCTGGAAGTCTGAGATCAGGGTGCTGGCACAGTCAGGTTCTGGTGAGGGCCCTCTTCCTGGTTTGTAGATGGCCACCTTCTTAATGTATCCTTACATGGCAAGAAGTAGAGGGGAAAGGAGAGGGGAAAAGATCGCTTCCTTTCCTAAGAAGGTCACAGTGCTACCAGAGTAGGGTCTACCCTTATGGTCTCATTTGACCTACGTAGCTGCCTAAGGATCCTACCTAGATAGTCACATTGAGGGTTAAGGCTTAAATATATGAAGCTGGGGACACAGTTCAGTCAATATCAGGTACCCCCCCCCCAAAAAAAACCAAAAA